TTCAAAGCGCCCATTTCTGTATCTTCGTGGCTCCAATCACCCCACTTCCGTTTAACGCGCTTTTTTGGCTGGTGATTTTTACGGTCATTTTCAAACGGAATAGCCGATACTCATTAGCTTCATTTAATTAGCTCGCGATTCCTGTATAATTGAAACATTTTTCCTTTATGGTAGATTTCGCGATAGAAATATGTTTCTGTTTTTATACAATTTTATTTAAGCCATTAGTGATTAGGTGTTAGGTATAAGCGAGGATTCATTTCATTAAATCTTTAACCCGATTGAAAAACAACATGTGAAGATTTGAGGAAATTAATAGCAAATCGAAGGACCGATTAGATCAAAATCATTTTCCACCTTTCTAAAAATTTTTGAAGCACATTTTTTGGCCATCATGAAATAGCGAAAATCTCGTTGCCCGACACCTTAAAATGCTGTAAAATATCCATTTTGCCCTGCCCGATGTTCCGCTCATTTTTGATACAGATCTCTGGAGGTGAGGCTGAACTCCTCGTGATTGATGCCCGCCCATATCATTCACGTGAAAGAGCACGCCATAATCTTTTTGCCGGTTGCCCCCGCTCCCCAAAAGGGGCCCCATATTTTCTATTTACATACCGCGGTCGAAAATTGTAAGGGCCGAATACCCGGCGGAAAAGTGCCAATTTTTAGGCTGTAAAAACTAGCTTGTCGAGATTTATATCAATTGCTAATATTTCCGTGGTAGAACCTCTGAAACATGTTGATTTCTGCAAAATAATTCTTTGCAAGGGCTTCAGTTTTAATATTAAAAGTGGATTTATTTAATATGACTGTAGTATGATTCTCCTATTTTACGTCATGTATTAAGGAAACTGATTCCCTCTGAACTTTAAAATTTGTTGAAACATATTTAAATTTTTATTTTGAAATATTACTGAAGTCTATTTCAAGTTTTATTTATTTATTAATATCGAGATTTAGGAGCTTTAAAAAGCAAACCCTACTTTAAATTAAAAGAAAGCCTAAGCCTTCTTTAAAAAAATGTTTCATTAACTTACAAGTATCTCAATTCCCCCAGCCTTCTATTAATTGGCCGGACATCACGTTGTTGTTTTTGATTAGCTCTTTTAATGTTTTCTAAAATCTACATAAATCCTTATATTCCATTTGCTTACAGTTTCCCACAGTGTCCAAGCTGCCCCGCTCCCCTCCACCCAAAATGCTGCTTTTCGAATCGCGCAAGCCGAGCTACGGCACCAACACCGCCTCGCTGCAGATTGAATGCGTGAGTTTTTCGAACAGTTCCTTATTTTCTGCAAAAAAAGCTGCGTTAAAGCAATTAAAAATGAGTTACTCTCATTATTATTAAGCTCCAAAAGGAGGGCCGATATTTAAAAATTTTCGAAGCATAATATTTTTAGTCAAATTTTTCGTGTTATTGGGCAGATTTTCTTAAGGAAAAGGGCATTAAAAAGATAAAAAGATTACCGTAATTTTTAAGATATTGCAAAACCTAGTTTGCGGAAAGCTTGGGGTAAGTTAATAGGTTATTTGATGTTTGTAACTCTAAGTAACTCCCTGAAACGTCTTTTTTAAATCAGAAACTTCCTTTAAGTTCCATTTTTAGCCAGAAAATAATTAGAGGCATTGGTAACCAAGTTTAATTCATAAATTGAGCTCACAAATTCATTGGCGGCTTTGGAGTTCTTCGCAACATTTTTTGAAAAATTCATGTTTCGACGTTTTTTGCATAATAAATTCGAGAAGCTAAAAAAAATACGTTCATCATTTGCGATGTTCAAATTAAGTTAAAAACCATTCAATTTAATGAAATCCCGATATCTTTCCACTTTCCCCTATTGCCCTGCCTATTGAAATGCGCTGGTTACGGCTATTTTTGTTGGTATTTACGTCTGGCGCTCTCGCCTGACCAGCCCCATCCAGCCGCCACACACAAATTTCGCCAGGGCATCTGCACTTTCTTTCAGCGCTTTTGGCCTCTCTTGCTCATTTTGCTGCGCCTCTCCCCCTCTCGTGCTCCCTCTCCGCCTCCCGGCCGCCTGCCCGAAAACATATACTAAAGGCAACAAAAACATAGGACAACACAACTGGGGGAGTTGACCTTGTGGAATTTGCGCTAAAAATGGGTAGGAGAGGGGGAGATAAGCCGGAGGGAATTTTGGGGGTTCTATATTATGAAATTAGACGCATAAAGATGCAACAACGCATTGGCCTTAATCATGTTCGTGCACCTTGATAATTTTATAAAACACAAAAATTTTCCTAAAAATTCGGAACCAATAAGTTTCAATTCTTTTTGCGAAATCTATTTTAGCTATTTACGATTCGTTTAATTATATAAAAGGAAAATGGATCAATCCAATCCATTTTTATAGAGGCGTATCTGAAACAACAATAATTCAAAAAAAAATTCGAAAATTTTTACTTTGAGATAAAAAATGTTTCATAAGAATTTAAAATTCTGAATATTTTTCTGCAGACAATTGCAAGCGTCAGTCCATACTTTTGCAAATCCTATTTTGAGTTTTATATAGGTTACCTGGAATTGCGGAGATCATAAGGTTAGGTATCGTTCTTAACTTAACGGCGAAGAGAGAGATGTAGTGTGAGATAGAGAGAGAGAGCGAGAGAGAGCGACAGACACACTGACACACATACAGACACTCATCCGAATCACCAATTCAAACGAAGAGGGTACCACCGGGCGCGACGAGGATGACCGGGCCGTTGGGGTGCCGGTCGGTACCATTTCTGCAGGAGAGCGAGAGGGAGATAGACCGCGTACAAAAAGGGCGCGCGCCGGGGGGAAAGACCAAATGGAGGCGCGGGCAAATGGCAGATTTTTTTGCGTGGGGGGCGCTGAGGTGCCAGGAACGGTGCCCGGGCCCCGGGCGGGCACGCGCACTTTTTGCGCGCCCGACGCGCAAAAAGAGCATACAGCCTGAGAACCCGCTATTTTTAGGCGACGGGAAAGATGGGGGTTTTGAAATTAAGGGGGCTTTGAAATGGGAGCCAACTTGCAGGGATTCTTGGGGATTTGGGATTAAAGGGGGTGTGCCGGCTAAAACAACCTTCTAAAAGAATTGAATTTAAATTTTTAAAAAATTTGCAGTTTTTTCTTAAAGGTCCGAACAAGGCAAAATATATAGCGACTCTCAAAAAATGTTGCATTAAAAGTTCTGTCGAAAATTTGAAAAAGAAAAATAAAAATTTCGCGAATTTTGATGTTTCATAAAATCTTAAAAAGCCCGTTTTTTACCGAGAATTATTAATTCGTGCCATTCGTCTCTAAATATATTTCCCGGAACCCAAAGGTATATCTGCCCTATTCCGGTCCCCAGAAGTGTCGAAATTAGACCCGTCATTCCGGGGACCGCTTCCCTGTAAATAGGAGTACGCGGAACTCCTATTTACCCCCCACGCAACGGCATTTCCGGCCGGGCTCTCAGCGCGTCTCTCTCTCTCGCGCGCGCGCTCTCTCTCTCGCTCTCTCTCTCTCTCTCTCTCTCTCTCTCTCTCGCCCAATTCGGGAATTAATGCCCTCGGGGGCACAAATTCCTTCCTCGTCTCGCCCCTTCTTTGGAAATCGTGGCAGAAACCCGGAAATTATTGCCCAACGAGAAATAGGGGAGAAAAAGGGCTCGAAAATTCGTGGGTCCAGAGGAATTCGGCGGAATTTGATTAGTCGGCCTGGGAGAATTAGAAAAGAGAAGAAATCTCTGTCGAAACCCTGTCTAAGAAATAAAGAACCAATAGAAAAAGATAAATTCGACGGCAAAAGAATTTTTTGAAACACACTATGATTTTAATTCAAAATTTTTTGGGTTTTTGAACTGGAACCGCATAAATAAAAGTTTGGATAACACTGATTTTTCGAAACATACACCTAATAACTATTTGCTATCACCAACCGCGAGTTTAAAAACGTGTTTCACTCAACAATTTTGTAGAAAATACTGCGGTGACCGTAATGTGTCGCACTTTCAGCAACGAATAGTAGGCAAATTGTGTCGTTTCAGATTTTGGTGCCTTCGATCTATCTCATCGTTTAAATTAAAAATGTTTTAGCTGAACCACCTAATGGGCGGTAGCAAAAGGCCAGTATTTCATGTCGCTGGCTCTTAAAAGTAATTTTTTAATTTACCTTCTTAATTTTTAATTTCTAAGTTTTAGTTTTTATTAAACTTTGAAATCTTCCTGTTTTCACCTTTGCCCCCGAGTTGACTCACAAGTTCCGGCTCGAAATCCGGGGCTTCCCGTGGAATTTCCGGGGAAATTTGAAGGAATTGGATGACTTTGGGAGAGAGAGAGAGAGAGAGAGAGAGAGAGAGGGGAGAGAGCCGATTTATGAGGCCCCGAGCAAATCACACAGGCAGATTAGCCGCTGCTGGTCAGGTGCCCCTAAAGAAATGGAAAATATTCGAAATCCAGCGCCGCCGCGATCAAACAGCCACCGGCTAGAATTTAGAGATTCCTCACCGAGGGGGAAAACAATTTGGAAATGCCAGGAATTTGCTAGATCTTATGCCACCGTGGTTTGAATAAAACGAAAAGTTTTTCGAATACTGCCGATTCTTGGAAACATACTCTTGTTTCGAATAATTCGGATATCGTGCGGGCTAATTAAGCTAAAGTTAGATAAATCCAAAAAATTCCATTTCCAATTCCAATAAATTTTAATTAAACGATAATTTGAACATACCATCTAAGGACATATTAATGCCAGCAATTTTTCCGATCATACTAACTTTTCCGAAACACCCTTTTTTCCTTATTTAAAATTTAACTTTTCCCAGGAGATAATTAGAAAATTAAAAAAAGTTCTGAATCAAAACATTCAAACGTTCGGGATTTAAAAAAAACGTCGTTTAATTGGCTAGTGAAAGGTGCGCTGAGATTTGGAAATTGATGAAACATTTTTTCAACCAAAAATACATGAAGCAGTGTATTATGAAAAATACAATTCACCTCTCCAATTTCAGCCCGGCTCGCCGACGATGGCCCGCAAGTTCTCCGGGCTGCGCCGCATGTTCAAGCTGTACGGCGCCGCCCCGGCCGAGGAGCTGAAGACGGCCGAGGAGATCGTCGAGGTCGAGTCGCCGCGCCGTCAGTGCCAGATTAAGGCCCGTGATGTGAGTGTTTATTGATCAAGATTTTTTATTATTAAAAATGTCGAAAAACATTAAAAAATGCTACTTGTATAGAAAAAAAACGCATACTTTGAAAAACTAAAGAATTTATAGCAAAAAAATTGAAGAACATTGAAAATCTTGCCTCCCCCGACAAAGCACAAGGATCGGAAATTTTAATCGAGATTTCCGAGTTTTAAGAATTTGAATTTACTAAATTCTCTCTCCCTTTCTCTCTCTCTCTCTCTCTCTCCTTCCCTCCCTCTCTCTCTATCTCTCAATCCAAATTCGAATTCTTTCGAATTACTCAACATTTCGTTGAAATCACTGATAACTGTCCCGGGGTTCCAGCCCGATTTTTAGTATATAATTTTTGGGGGGAACACACTGTCTGGCGGCGTGCTGCTGCTGCGGTGATAATCGCCAATTCGTACAGCCCGGCTGGCCAGAAGCCAGCCCATATTTACATCCCAGGGCGACCAAAAAAGCCCCCCCCCCAGCCATAGCCAAAAATAAAGCCGCCAGAAATTTCTCGGCGCTGGAAAACAACAATAACACCGTAGTACGGAGGAGGCCGTACAGTTGTGGAATTCGGGATTCGAAGACTAAAATTTGGGGAATAACCAGATAAAAATTTCGGGGTTTAGTTTTCAATTTTTTGATACATCGAATTTTGCGTCAGGAATTCCAGATTCACAATTTGTCGTCACCTGACTTTTTTCAAACACTGTTCTTGTCGTTTGAAAAACTATAAGATAGTTTGTTACAAATATAGCAGAATTTTTAATTAATTTATAAAGCTCCCCGACCAAAACTGGATTTTTTGAAACACGTATCTTTCGTGTATCACCTTTATTCTCGATACTTCGGGTCTAGTCACTTCGATAAAACATTGTTTTTCGACAAAAGGGTTGTATTGTTAATATTTTCCATTTTGCGGGTTTTAGCAGAGTATACTATTGTACTATGCTTCCATTCTCTCCTGGATAGACTCCTAAAAATAGCTCCCGGGCCCAGCAGTTCGGTTGCACTCCCCGACACCGCCCTGCTCGACGAAAATTGGCGCAAAAAAGTGCGGCCGCAGTGCAGGGAAGCGAGAGAAAGAGAGAGAGAGAGAGAGAGAGAGAGAGAGAGAGAAAGAGAGAGAGAGAGAGAGCGAGAGAGAGAGGGAGAGAGAGAGATGCGCAGAAAAAGACCAGACGATTCGGATCCAGACGGAAGGACGTACCGATATAAAACTGTCTGGACGAATGAGAGAGAGAGCGAGAGAAAGGGAGCGAGTGAGATACAGACAGGCAGAGATACAGACAGACGGAGATTTGAGAGGCCAATCATTATACAAAAAGCCAAGTTAGCAGACAGACCGACAAAAAGTGCAGTTTGCCGGGCGCGGCACGGGCTGGGCCCGTGCCGCCCAGCTGCAACTCGCACTATTTTTTAGCGCTCTCTCTCTCTCTCTCTCTCTCTCTCTAACCCTCTCTGCCCTTCCCGAATCCCTCCGGTCTCACCCCATTTTGCACTTGGTGCTCGGCTGCCCTCTTTTTATTTGACGCCTTTGTGTGCGGAGTGGAGAAGCCCCGGGTGGGTGGAATGGGAACCGCGGCAAAACACCCGGAAAGGGCAGAATTCCGAAGAAAAGGAAAGAATTGAGAATTCCCCGGGAATTTCCGGAAATACTTTGGCAAATGGCTTGCAAACAACGACTAGTATAACAAATTCAAAAGGCTTTAGTTATTTGTACTAAACATAATTTTTCAAAAAAATTATTTGCAAAAAATTTAATTTTTGGTGTAATGAATTTGGTTTGCATCAAAAAACTATATAGCATATAGAACGATATAATCTTTATTTATTCTCGCCACTCGTTTTCAAGCCCTCAAAAAATATTTACGGCCGACAGCAGCCGACTCGTATTTATCGGCTTTGCATGTTGATAGCTACTCGTTTTACCAGTTTCTCTCGCTCGCCGTCTCTCTCTCCCTCTCCCCCCCCCCCCCTCTCCCTCTCTCTCTCTCTCCTCAAAAGCATCACAGACCAACTTGCACTTTACAAATATGGCGATTCCAAAAAAAGGGGGTAAGAAAAAATGTTTCGATCAATCGTAATTATAAAGTCCGATATACAAAGCTAATGAGTTGTCTTTAGATAGGCAGGATAAAATCGATGCTTCGAAAAATTCTCTATTTTTATTCTTAAAACATTTGTAATATTAGATCGCTCATTATCTCAAAATTTCCAGGTAGCCGTCGCTGTCACCTCGCGCGTTCCATGCCGCGTGCGTGTCTGCGCCCCGAACGGCGAGTGCTCCGAGGAGATGAAGCCCGGCGCGTCGTCGGAAAACGAGACCGTCTACGAGCCCAAGTTGTGCGGCTGCGGCCACGGCCACTGGACCTTCCACATCCTTCACGAGCAGTGCGTTTTTTGAAACTTTGGCTTGAAAAATAAAAAAATATAGCTAAATTACTTAAAAAAGTATGTTCCCAAAAGTCATATCGGGTCCAAGCGACGGCTTAGCTGTAATCGTCGGCGTTTTCTGTTACTATTAATTTGCATATGCATTGTATTTGCAAATACCGTATTTTTGAAAAAATTGTTAGGCGTAATTAGTAACCAATTAAAAACGTACAATAATTTATTAATTTCACAGCGTTAAAAATGAATGTTTCGCTGAGACATAGGGAAAAATTCTCGCAGCTCGTTTATAATATGATGTTAGCCATGAAATATTCCTTTTTCATGAAACCATGAAAGATAATTTGTTTGATATAATTCACCATTAAATCATTATTATCTATCAAAAAAAATCAATATTATTAGTTTTGAGGGTTGATGTTTCAAAAGTTTTCAAAAATCCCCAGGTTTCAGTGGCAGTACTACGATGTATTTTTGAGCATCAATAAATTAATTCAGTTAAAAATACGGAAATTTAATCAAATAAATAGCTTTATTTAATTCGTCCTTTTTCAGCGACGACACCGTGTTGGCCAGCCCTCAGCTGTACCTCTCCGGCTGGGGCTCAATCCTCGTCACCATCAACGCCGACCTCTCAATTTCGATGGAACGCCGCGATTTCCTCGAGTCGCCAATCGCCGTCTCGTGTGGATATTAATCGACGGCGTTACGGTAGAAGCTCAAGCTTCACCGCCTTCAAAATACCTAAATCCTCCACGATTTTGCTTTATTAAAAGCCCTTAAGCCCGAATTTCGGATGTAAATTTGCGTTTTTGGACCCGGGGCGCGTTGAGCGATACTAGGGAAATGTTGGATTTAATTTAGATGGTATTAAAAACGTATGCTGGATATGCAAAATTCAGTAATATCGCCCTCTGATGGCTAAATTACCTGGCGTAGAGGGTTTTACTTAAATACGTAGAATGAAACTTCTTTTTCGCCTTGACTTTGCGGCTTTCTTCGAAACTGAAAAATTCTACATGCCAATTCGGTAAAACATCTTATTTTTGCCAGTTTCAAAAGCTCAAATTACAAGAACGAAACATTTTTGTTTAAATACTTTTCATAAAACATAAAATTTCTAAATCTTTCAAAATCAAAATTTTCAGATTTTTCGTAACTATAACTATAAACCCGTCTTTCCGCTATCGCTCAGCCTCCCCTCCCATTAATGCGCCCCCACCTTGCTCCTGTACATATACAAAAAACCCCCAGCTTTTCACTTGTCTTCCCAGGGTCTCGAGGCGATTTTCGGGGGCTACAGTAACCCTAAAAAATTTTTCAGGCTATTTGTTATCGACAGTCCCCCAAAATCGTCTCGGCCCCCGGATTTTTGACGCGACACCGACACGGGTACCCCACGGCCCCGGGCCACCAAAAAACACACGGCCAGCATTATAATTCTCATTTCTTACGATTTTTGGGTACGATCTATAGGCAAAATTTGCATATTCTTACGGTATTTCGAAGGGAAAATTACGGTATTCATAAATGGCCGCCCGGGAACCGCAGCGCCAAGCCGCGCGCCGCGCCAATATGTTGATTTTTATGATAATTCCTATATTTTTCAATGCACCTGCCCATCTCTTGAAACTCTCATTTTTGGCAAAGAAACCACCTCAACTTGTGATGCTAGACCGGAATATTTCTGTAAAAATTACGAAATTATTTATATTCCCATTTTAATGCTGATTTTTTGCAAAAAGATGGTGCATTTTATTCCCTCTCAACCACCCCCCCGCCGATCCGAAACATGCTGTGAACAACCGAATCTGACATATTCCACTCTCTCGCTTTTTTTCTTATTTGCCTTTCTTACCCTACTGTATATTGTGGTATATAAATGTGTTTTGTTAAAATGTGGAAAGTTGGAAAATGCAAAGTATCTTTTTACACATATGATTCAAAGACTACTATAAATGAGAACATCGCGCTTTTTAAACATTTTTGAAACACAATTTTCTAATGAATTTTTAGCGCGTGAGAGGTTTAAGGGAAGCTAATATTCTATCTTTCCCCCTAATAAAATATAACGTATTTTCATAGGATTTTTATAGTTTTTGGTTGTTAGTAAGTTCTTAAAAAAATACTGAACGATTCGACTTTTGATCATTTACCACAGATTTTTGACCGAAAAGCCAAAAATGTCGAAATTTTTTATGCTTTTTTAATGCACTTTCTGTTCTAAAAAGTTTGTAAAACACCGGTCAAGCTCATCAATTATATCGAGTTCCAAAATACGGACTTTCAACTTGCTATGGAAAACATTTTTCATCGAAGGTTTTCCGTATCAAGAACGGGACCAAAAAGAGGAACTATTAGTCGTGGCCCTCGATGGATAAAGTGGAAAATCCATGAAACACAGTTTTTCATGCCAAGAAATTGGCATTATTATTTTTAAAAACATCGTACGCGAGAACTGATTTTCTCGGTACTGTACCGTAACGTAATAAACTGATTTTTCCAGCAACTGATGTGAATTGAATGTCGCCTTTGATTAAAATAAACTTTAGAAATATAGATTTTTCAAATAGCTAATTATTTATCACCACCATCTATGAAATAGTAGCAATAATAGCCATTTAATATTTCAAGAGCAAAACACACGATTTAAAATCCAAATTTACCTCTTCGATCGATTTCGCACGATTTAAAATCAAATTCGCCTCGTCGAATATTCAGTGGGAGTTAAGCCATTTATTACCGTAAAACTTCAAAACATAACTCTTTCAAATATCCAACTTTTTCGAAAATCGATCCAGCATGTCGGCAACTTCTCTTTTGTCAGCTTCCAGACTGCCCCTCGTCTCGGTTGGCTTATATTTTTCCTGCAATTTTTGAACATCATTAAATCGCCCTGGAAGCTACTTTAAAGAAATACGTAAAATCAACTTACATGCATTTTCACGAGATACGGATGGCGCAGGCAATTCGTGGCCGTCGGCCGCCGCTGCGGGTTGACAGTGAAAATCTTGTAGAGCAGATTCTCGAGGTCGGCAGCTGAAAATATGATTGGCTAAAGCGACATAATCACATGCTAAGAAAAATTCCAGATCATGGAAATTTTTGGAAACATTTTTTGGAGAAAAATGTATGAATTACACGTTGTATTTTAATCTTTTTAACTAATAATAATTGCAACTTCAACTTTCAAAAAAGCTCATTTAAAAAGCATTCGAACACACATAATCAAGCTTTTGTAAAATTGCGAAATTTTAAAAATTTTGAAACATTTTTTCTGGACTTAACAAAGGCTTTCTTTTCAATACTGAAAGTACTTAAGTCACTGCCTGAAAAATTATGTTTATTAAACCCACTCCTCAGCGCGTTCATCTCCGGGCCAAGAAGCCCCAACGGCCCCTGCAGTTCTTCGCGCAGTTTACTCGGGCGTTCATCCATCCTCGCCAGATGGTTGCCGAAACTGGAGAAAACGTTATGTAGCTGTATTTAATTTTAAATAAATCGACTTAATGCTATTTTAATTTAAATACATCTTTCCCAAACATATATCTTAATAGAACTCACACTTCCTCATAGCGATCCTCCGGCACCCCGAGCACGTCGAGAACGCGTTGCAGCATCGCCGCTTCGTACGCCGAAAACAGCTTCTAAAACTTAAGTATTTTTGGAATTACTTTTGCTATTGAAATCTCTCTCTCTCTCTCTCTCTCTCTCTCCTCTCTCTCCTATCTCTCTCTATCTCTCACTCTCCTCTCTCTCTCTCCTCTCTCCTCTCTCTCTCTACTCTCTCTATCGCCCCTCCCCCCCCCTCTCTCTCTCTCCTCGTTCTCTCTCTCTCTCTCTCTCTCTCTCTCTCTCTCGCTCTCTCTCTCTCTACGCACATCTTTCTCAACGCCCTCTGGATTCGGGATACTGCTGGGCAGGAACAGCTTCTTTCCTAGCATCTCCAGCGCAATCAGCCCAACCGCCCACACGTCCACTAAAAATCCAGTTTCTAGCTCGACCTCCTTCCTCAACAATCTCTGCTAGCCTGCCCTCTCCTCTTCCTCAACAATCTCTGCTAGCCTGCCCTCTCCTCTTCCTCAACAATCTCTGCTAGCCTGCCCTCTCCTCTTCCTCAACAATCTCTGCTAGCCTGCCCTCTCCTCTTCCTCAACAATCTCTGCTAGCCTGACCCTCTCCTCTTCCTCAACAATCTCTGCTAGCCTGCCCTCTCCTCTTCCTCAACAATCTCTGCTAGCCTGCCCTCTCCTCTTCCTCAACAATCTCTGCTAGCCTGCCCTCTCCTCTTCCTCAACAATCTCTGCTAGCCTGCCCTCTCCTCTTCCTCAACAATCTCTGCTAGCCTGCCCCCTCCTCTTCCTCAACAATCTCTGCTAGCCTGCCCCTCCTCTTCCTCAACAATCTCTGCTAGCCTGCCCTCTCCTCTTCCTCAACAACTCTGCTAGCCTGCCCTCTCCCTCTTCCTCAACAATCTCTGCTAGCCTGCCCTCTCCTCTTCCTCAACAATCTCTGCTAGCCTACCTCTCGAATCATAGGGGCAATTCGGAACGAGCAGCTCGGGCGGTCTGTAGAGATGCGGGGTTCCGACACGCCCCTTCGTCGTCATGCTCCCATCAGACACAGTCAGACTAAAAGGAATTATTTGAATACATAAAAGACTTGGCGATATTTCAATAATCATGGTATGAAAGAGAACAAAAGTTTATACAGACTTTTTCAAAATATTAGGCAGGTAATTCCGGCAAAAAAAATTGAAACATTTTCTTTTCCTCTTAACACACGGCCCTCTTACCCGGAACACCCGAAATCGAGCAGCTTGATGTCGAATGTCTGCAGGTTTAGGCCGACGTTTTTCGGGTTTAGGTCCTGTGAAATGAAAAAATGTTGTATTTGTGTAGGTAGTCAGAAATCAATTATGGTTATTATTGAGATTTGCCTGCTTTTTCAGTAATAAATCGTATCTAGCTTTGAAATCACGCCCGGTCAGACCCTTTAAAAAATTAAAGAATGGAAGACGTTACGGTAGTCAAATTTATAGTAGTATAATAACTATAATAGTATCTAACTGTAAAGTGTTTTTACTCAGGCTGGCTTTTTGAAATGGGACCAAGACTATCTTGTGCAGAATTTTTTGCTGATTCCGAATCCGTTTTCCAAATCTGCTGCCGACTTTCCGTTAAAAAGATAGAGCACTTTTTTTAAAATTGCACCCAACGCCTTGGCTCTTGACCCCCCTTTATGAGGGCGCCCCCCGTGCCCTGTCAGCATCGGGGCGTGGCCAGGTGGGTAGCGAGTTGGCGTGTCAGGTGAAAGGTCAGGGTTCGGTTCCGCCCATGGTCACGCTCTTTTTGCTTTTTGCTCGAAATCGTCAGTTTTTGGCAATAAGCTGTTTTAGGAAAGGTTATAGCTCTCTTGAATATTTTTGGATTTTTTTTAGATTACACATAACACAAATGGCAACAATCAACAAAGTGTGTGAAGCATAAATACACCCTGCAACGGGCACAACGAACAAAGGGCCTTAACAAACAATTATTATTGTTACAAGGGGCCATTTTCGAAGGGAAGCAGACTGTGCTTGGCGTTTCTACGTCACCTACCGGTGGATCGATCATGCCGCTTTGGGACCAGGCAGTGAGACGCAAGTTCGTGAATAGGTCTGCCCCCATCTGATGGTGGATGACAGAAGTGATCTTTGCGATACCATCGCGGCTCCCCAGTTGGAAAGGCATTTTGTAGAGGAGAACTTCTTCGTCGATCCGCACTTGGAATATCTTGAAGTGGCGGAAGTAGCTTTGATCGAGCGGCTGCATCAAGCCTGTCCCGCCGCTCGGGATGTTTTTGATCTGGATATCGGTCCCTGGTGGCGCAGCCCCGTGGATCAATCCGTGATTCCGGAAACAACTCCAGTTGTCGAGTAGAGCTACAAATTTCCTGGGCGCCTGTGGACACAACACGTCGCGGATAAAGTCCTCCGTGTGCTTTCGCGTCATCATGTGACTGCGGGCTCCATCGATTATAAGGTTCGGAGGCCGGAAGAAGTTAGCATTTGGTGGGATGCTTCCTGATGGCTCCGCGAATAGTAGGTAAGCTTTGTCGTACAGTCTGCCGGAAGCCGTCACAATTGGCATGTATGTTGAGCTGTGGCTCACATCGGTGGTTCGTTGCACACACACTTCAACCCTAAAATTCTGTTTGAGGGATTTTTCGAGAGTGAGGGTCCGGACGCCCGCTAGAACTAACTTTTTGGTTCCCCTTTTCGCCAGAGTGTGCTTGCCAAGATGTTCCTTTAGCAGTCCAGATTGGTCGCAGTTGATGACATTATCGGCACCCTCGGAAACGATGAGCGCCCGCATCTCGGTGACCAGGGCATCCACTTTCGCATCCAGCAAAGCCTCATCCCTCCTAGTTTTCGTGGAAACGAATTTTGTGATAGATCGGGAACAGAGGTTTAAGTGTCGCTAAAGCCCATTACTAGAAGGGTAAAATAAAGTACCTTTAATTTATGAATCCACGATGGACTCGCTAAAAATCCCTTGACTAGCTTGTGCTGCTCGTTTAACTCCATCACGATAGCTCGGAGGTTTCGGCCGTGGAGGGGCAGCCCTTCGTCGAGTTTCTGGTTGACTTCACGGGACACTATCTCCGTCAGCCTCTTCAATGCGGCATTGCGATCCATGAAAACATGATCTATAAAAATGCTGGCCGAAAGGAAAGGTTCTCACCCTGCTCCTCCAGTTGACGCAGCTTGTCCATATGGCTTCGATTCGAGAGAAAACGAAACCTTGATGCCATTGAAGACATCGGACGGGTCTTACTGGCTGGTAGACGATAATAGGCTATCGCACGTTTTACCTAAACAATTTAACCAATTTACCGAGTACCGAAAAAACGTACCGTCGCAATCGAAGCCTGTTTATCCCCAAAGCGAACGAAGCCGTTCTTCTCGGCCTTGATAGGGCGCACCACTCGATCGTCCATCTCGTAAGGCTCATCCTCATCATCCGAAGTATCTTCGGCACGGAAAAGCTCTTCTTGAACTGTAGTTTGAAGATCTCCGGTAAGGGCGTCAACGAGTAGGTGCTGGAGTTGGTGCGCGAACTTGGTCTCTTCCTCCGATAGGTCGAGTTCTATGCACCCAAAGTTCTTGGCCAAAAGGCCAATGACTGCCTCTGGTCGTATCACCGACATCTGAATCGCAAAATTAGACACTCTTACATAAATATGGAAACAGACAGTATGAGAACAGATGCGTCAAAAAATTTTGAGTGAAACACCAAATCCGGAAAAAATACGAAAAATAAACGAAGTATGGCCCATAACCTGATCCTACCGTAACCAAAGCTGTAATGCACTTAATAAACCAAAAAGCAAAAAGAGCGTGACCATGGGCGGAACCGAACCCTGACCTTTCACCTGACACGCCAACTCGCTACCCACCTGGCCACGCCCCGATGCTGACAGGGCACGGGGGGCGCCCTCATAAAGGGGGGTCAAGAGCCAAGGCGTTGGGTGCAATTTTAAAAAAAGTGCTCTATCTTTTTAACGGAAAGTCGGCAGCAGATTTGGAAAACGGATTCGGAATCAGCAAAAAATTCTGCACAAGATAGTCTTGGTCCCATTTCAAAAAGCCAGCCTGAGTAAAAACACTTTACAGTAAGGAAAGTTTGGATTCCCAAAAACAACGCAAAAAAAACAGATTTTTTAGCAAAGAATTTCCATTAATTACCAAAAAAATAGGTTTCATAAAAATTGAATGTTACCCGCGATTTTAAAAGTATAATTTGTATGAGCAGTTTATGAAATCATCATACCCGGTGAATAACGCCCCGATGGTGCAAAAAGTCGAGCGCCATAAAAATCTGCGTCATGACGGCGGCGACGTGGCGATGGTCGCGCGGTTTGTCCATCTTCTCCGGGCGGTTGATGTGGCTGGAAAGAGGCTATTTAAATCAATCGTCGAACGCTTTTAATTAGTTCAAAGGGCTGTCAAAATGACCGTAGATTTTAATCGAAAAATCGGAAAATATAGGTAAATTGGGGCGGAAAAGAAAAAAGGTACTTCATCAGCTAAAAGGAGATGTTTCAAAAAAATGCATAGATGACCCCGTTTTGTTAATGTTATTATACATAATTATAATGGCCGGTCAAGAATTTGGAAAATATGTAACCTGCCTCGAGCATGAAAGAAGGAATTTAAAAATAGAAGCATCTTTTCGGAAAAGGTTTATGTTTCATCAGATCGATTGCATCATATAAAAGATTTTTCTTCAATCTCATCTCCCATGACTCGTTTGAACTACAGTGCCTGCCCTAAACACCGCTAAAATTAAGATGTTGCAAATAAACGCAAAGGTATTAAAAAAGCTATTCTCCAATACTTTCCAGACCCCCCAGGCTCCATTCAATAATATTAAAAACGTTATTAGAATTTAGATCTTTAAATACCGTAACTTCCGCTACCTCGAGAACTAAAAACAAATGTTTCAGTCCAGTAACAATAAAACAAAAGCCTCTAGTTCACAATCCAATTCCAGGCCCATTCATCCGAAAATTTGCAATTTTTCACTACAAGTATCCTATAGGGCAAAAATCAAAGGCCTAAACAAGTTCATGAAAAATTTGTCTAAAAATAGCACAAAATGCGATCGAAAATTGATGTTTCGGGTTATCCCAAGTAATTCTGTTAGCCGAAATAAACAATGCAAACCCGGGTCTCATGGTTTTTGAAAATTCAAAATCTAGCCTGTTTAATCGAAACTTAAGTGTATTTACAACAACAAATCGCCGAGACATACTTGATATACGCCTGCAGCGTGGTCTCCATGCGCTCGGTGACGATCCACGTGTACTTGACGGTGCCGTCTGCATTCGGCTCGAAGAACGTGTCTTCAAGGCGGACAATCTGGGATTTGATTAAAAATAGAAATAAAAATAATGAATAGAGTCGAAATTAATCGCTTACATCGTTTAATAATAAAAATAAAAGTAAAAGACGATTGTATTTTTAAGGCCCCGAAAATCAAAATTTCTCATCTGATGATCAGAATTTGAAATGGATCTAATAATATCAACGAATTTTTCCTAAATTGGTCCTTTAGAAGTAACATACTTTCACAAAAAACTGAATTTTTATTGAAGATTACCGGAAAATACCCACTTAACAATATTTAGTTTTTTTAACGTTTTGTGTTTATGCCAATTTAAAAATAATCCAAAAATTAAAAAGAAGCCATGCAGTTTTTAGTATCATAAAGCATCCCCCCGAAAACACCAATTTCCATGAAACATACATTTGGGTGCACGAGGAATTGGGTGTTCTGCATTTCGCGCATCAGCCACCGGTACGATTTGTCCCCTTTTAATTCTGACATTGTGTACCTGAATTATTTATAACTTATTTACAAAAAATTTCACAAAATCGAAAATCATAATGTCGACATTTTCGGAACGCCGAAATTTACATAAAAATCTCCTGGAAACCCTCAAAACCGTGAGAAAATACAGACGCATTCAACTTTGGATATTTTGGAACCTAGATATTTTTATAGCAAACCAAAATATAATACCAATATATAACATGACGATATTACGGATTAATCCAGCTAAAAATTTTGGCTAGCTATTGCCTCGTAGAAACATTTTTTTTGTTCAAAAACAGCTAACCTTTTTGCCGCGACGCGGCAAGCAGCTCCGATGTTACCATTTTCCTGAGTCGAGCCACTAAACTTTTTTGACCTTCAAAATTGGAAAGTAATAATCCCAAATATTGGAAAAAGCCGTTTTCAAATCATGAAACATTTTGGTCAACTTTTACCAACCTTTTTACGTCAATGCCGCCCATCGCGCCTTTTTGCAGAATAGCGCCTCTAAAAGGAACTTGAAGAGGGGAGGCTAGCAGAGATTGTTGAGGAAGAGGAGAGGGCAGGCCAGCAGAGATTGTTGAGGAAGAGGAGAGGGGCAGGCTAGCGGAGATTGTTGAGGAAGAGGAGAGGGCAGGCTAGCAGATATTGTTGAGGAAGAGGAGAGGGCAGGCTAGCAGAGATTGTTGAGGAAGAGGAGAGGGCAGGCTAGCAGAGATTGTTGAGGAAGAGGAGAGGGGCAGGCTAGCAGAGATTGTTGAGGAAGAGGAGAGGGCAGGCTAGCAGAGATTGTTGAGGAAGAGGAGAGGGGCAGGCTAGCGGAGATTGTTGAGGAAATAAACAATGTTTCGTGACTTACATAACCATCGCCTGCTGCCCTTGGCCGATCGAGTGAAATTCTTCCGGCTCAACTCCTTGGCTACGGTAGTGCTTGTCTTTCTAAAGTTTTATAACAGTTTTTTCAGGGTATCCAATTTTGCTTTCTATATGTTTCACTGACAATAGTTTGCTGCAGAAATTATCTTCAATACAATTTTGAGAGAGGCGAAAATCAAGAATCCACAAAAAAGCTGAAAAACGTGCAACATACCGTATCCGGATAATAATTATCCGGCAGTCTCATCTGCACTTTTTCTTCTTTCATTCGCCGCTCGTCGCGCACGAATACAGTAACCTCTCTCGTAGCAACCATCCTGGAAATTACGGGGGTTTTTAAAGGGATGGCGACAGGCAGGAGCGAAAGTACAGCGAAATGACTTGATCGGAAGTCAAATTATAGCGTGCCCAAAATTCTGTAAGCCACGATTTTATGAAACACTGCCTCGGCCACGATATTTACAAAACTTTTTTAAACCACAGAAAAGTGTTTCAAATGAGCATATGAATAACTTGTTTTTCGGATTTTAGATAGCCAAATGATTGCAGGAAAAATTCTGAGTTTCAGAAAAACTGGTAAGGCGGGACCACGATTTAATCATATTCAAAGCCTTTTCTTTAGTGGTCCTAGAGCACAAAAAATTATTTTTTTACTTTAACTATTACATTATACTTAAACCACACAGATTTTGACCACCTAAGCCAAGCCTAAGCCTAAGCATGCCTAAGCCTAAGCCTAAGCCTAAGCCTAAGCATACTACCCATTACAAAACCATATTCAATAAAAACATCACTGTTTTAGATTTTTTACTCTTTTGCAGTATATTTTCGATATTTCGGTTGTTGGCATCTAGCAAACACAAAAAATTAATGATAATTTGAAAAGCCGTAAAATCGGTAAAATATAAAGCTTAAATGGTTTAGCGATAACTGGATCGAAAAACTTAAAGATGCGCTATTCTCGCGATGAAACAATCTTTTTGGGGGAACCGAGAGCGATTTGCTGTTTGTGGGTAGAGATAAGGGGAAAAGCGGAGAATCGGGTTGTCAGCAAATAATTGACCCGCCCTGCCCGCCTCGCCATTTTCTTGCTCACCAAAATGCTGGTGCAAGAAAATAGCGAGGCACCGAGGAAAAAAGGTGGTGGGTACTGAGGTATTAGTGGGGGGGGGGGAGATTTTGAAAGAAAACCTGACTTTGGCCTATGACTCGTGTTTAGTTTTTAGGCCGTATTTAGGTCCAAAATTTCTTAAAAATCATAAAATTTCGTGACAAAAATTTTTTCCGTTGGTTTAAGTTTTTTGCTTAACTTTAAAAAGAATGAAACATTTTTCAGAACAAAGAGTGCTAAATCCTTTTTCATAAGCTCCTTCCGGCCAAATCTTTACACAAAACAGATCGTATCAACGCTCAAATTTGTAACGAAAAATGGCGGTGGTCTTCGAGCAGTTCATCATGCGGTGCTGTTTTCCCGGCAAGACCGGGGCTTTCATCTCTATACCATTCCTGAAAAAGATATTTTAAGAAAATATTGCGTCGTATTCAATCTCGGTTTTCTCGGCACAAAAACGAATTGCTCGGGCAAGAGCCAAGATTATTATGGAAACGCAGCCTAGCAGAGATTATTGAGGAAGATGAGAGGGCAGGCTAGCAGAGATTGTTGAGGAAGAGGAGAGGGCAGGCTAGCAGAGATTGTTGAGGAAGAGGAGAGGGCAGGCTAACAGATATTGTTGAGGAAGAGGAGAGGGCAGGCTAGCAGAGATTGTTGAGGAAGAGGAGAGGGCAGGCTAGCAGAGATTGTTGAGGAAGAGGAGATGGCAGGCTAGCAGAGATTGTTGAGGAAGAGGAGAGGGCAGGCTAGCAGAGATTGTTGAGGAAGAGGAGAGGGCAGGCTAGCAGAGATTGTTGAGGAAGAGGAGAGGGCAGGCTAGCAGAGATTGTTGAGGAAGAGGAGAGGGCAGGCTAGCAGAGATTGTTGAGGAAGAGGAGAGGGTAGGCTGGAAATCACATGTTTTAACCACGTTCCAGTAAAGATTTTGAATTCAAAATTTCGGGACTTTTGAGTGATTCCATTGAATGATTTGAGAGTGAGTTTAGTTGTGTTTTAGTTAGTCATTGAGTGATCCAGTAGTTATTTTTGTTAGACATTTTTAATTTATGGTGCGTACTTATATTTGTTGATGATTTTGTAGATTTATTTTTGTTTATTAGGGTAGTATTTTATTTATTCTAATTTATTCTGGCTCAATTCTCGCAACTACGGCCCTCATTCGGGTAGGGTATCTCCAGGCGCAGCGTGCCCACATCGTAGTAGTCTGTAACAATCAATAGAACACCGAGATATCGAAACCTTGATCCAAATTTGAAGCATAATATAATTTTGGCGTGTATCTTTGTGTGCGTGTGTGGATGTCAGTTTGGAGGCCCGATTTGAGGGCCTTCCCGTGTCCAAAATGCCTCAATTCTGCGTCACTTGGGGGAATCGACCCTTCTGTTTCCGATCGCGTCTTCAGAATTTTGATAAAATACAAGTTTACAAAGTTAAAGCCGGTTTTACTCATTTTTGGGTTTCTGAGGGCTAATTTGCATAATGTGGAAAAATACAAATTTCCTCATTCTTGCAAGTTGCACGCGCGCGTGTGGTCGGACGGGGGGAGGGGGTCCGAAGGACCGAGCTATCGGGAAGGCGAATTTCTCATGCAAAGGCCACATTCCAGCGCCCAAGGCCCGCGAAGCGGGTTTTGGGCGCTGGTTGAAGCATAATTTGCCGACCGTGTTCGAGCATTGCTATATGCGCCAGACAAAATGCCTTCCCAAAATGCGAAACATTGTGTTGTATTTTCATCAGCGCGTTTTTTGAGCGAAACGAAAAACATGAAACGGAAAAAGCCTAGTTTGAAGCCATAGCCATTTTTAATTAAGATCGTTGCTGCATAAAAATTGAAAGAAAGGCCATATTGCTCTACAGTATTTTATCCGTAACATTATTGTTCAATTTTCGGAGGGCGAATTCAAATTGAACACCTAATAAAAACTTACACTTGACATAAATCAAATAAAATTTCCATGGCGGGCGAGTAGAGCTCTTTAGGGAATTTGAGAAAATTTTTTGGTTAAATCTCTCTTAAAACCCCCGATTAATTGTTAATTTTACCTCAACAGCTGTAGTACATTTTGTTCTACAACTTCTTCGCAGACATCTATTATTTTCTATTACATATTCGAGGTTTATATTAAATTTCACTAAGTTTTTTAGCCAATCAGGCATTTGGAAAGCTGTTATTTTCTTCCTTTTAGCTTTTTCGGATCGGATGTTGAATGCTTAATACTGCCGAGATTTACCTCCGATTCAGCGATTACAATTTTAAAAATATTAAGGTTTTAATCGAACTATTTTTTTATTTTAGTGCTTCAATGCAAATACTGACAGGCTAGCAGGGGTTAATTGTGGAATTTAGAATCTTATTTGTGTGCATTTCCGTTGAAGAAATATGGTCGACTACTAGCAACATTCAGCACAGCCCAAGCCGCAAAAAGAGCCAAACACTGTTCGCAAAAAAAATGTTTTTGGAAGCCTTATAGTCAATAGAATTTATACGCATTGAATATGTATCTATCCCACAGCTGCGGCCTTAATTCGTTTCCAATTAATTCGTAAATCCCTCATGATTTACTCACCAGATTCCGCAGCCTCCTTTTTCCGGACGATCCACCGCGGCGGGATGTCGATTCGGACGCGCTTCTGGCATGGCTGAAAAATCATTTTTTGGAATGATGTGTTGCACAAATTTTCAAAGCAACGATAAACTTTTAAAATGACATCTGCTTAGAATTTTTTGCGCAACGGAGATTATATTGCTTGCCTTTTTACATTGCTACATTCGAAATTTTTTAGAAAAATGTTTCAAAGAATTTTCAGGCCGCCTTAGACTGAGGTTGGTAATCCCGCGACGGCATTATCGTGTGATATCGACAAATTTAATTTGTAAACTCAAGATTTAAAAAGCGGTCCCTGCTTCGTAGCTTCTCTATTTCTTGTTTTTTCCATGATTTCGTTAAACTTAATTGGATTGTTATAAGTTTTTTTAATTCTAACAAATTTGGTTCCATTGGCTTTCCAAAAATTACCCTAATGCCATCCTCACAATCGTGATACACATACAACACGGGCTCGATATCGGTCAGTTCGCGTGTCGTGCCGAATACCCGGAATTCACCGTCCTAAAAAGGGTTATAGTTTTTTATTCATTGTGTATATTGTATTTTATTTAAGTAGCATGCTTGGTGCGTTTTATTACTTTAATCACCAATGCTCTTAGTTTTTAAATGGTTTTTGCGGTTTTCACGAACCTTATCCGTGTACCGATCGTCGAGCAAATCATCCGAATCGCCGGGGTCTAAAAGAATTTTATTCAATAAGAAGGAAATTCCTCAAAAAATCCTTCAAAAAGCGGGTATTAGCAATGTCTTATTTTGCGTTTTGCCCAATCGGTTTGAACCATCTTTTTGCAAGATTGCGGTTATTTCCGTTTCGAGGGTTGGGGAGAGCGCGAGAGGGAAAGAGTGAGAGTGAGAGAGATGGTAAGTTAGTGAAAGAAATTAGATCAAAAAGCATATACTTACTCCGATCAATGTCATAAATCTTCACTCGTGTATTTCTCAGCACTTTTTCATTGCATAACAATCTGCCCTTTACAGCAATTCCTTGAAGTCGGAATGCGTCCCCATTCAAAATGAATGCTTGGCAAATTGCCAAAAATGCAAGCTTCGTCAAATAGTACATCTAAAAGCGATAAATGTATAGATTAAGAAAAAAAAATTAGTAGTAAAAATATGTTTCAAAAATTTATGCGGAAGTTTTGCGTCTAAAATGGTACCTTGCCCTTCGGTAGCGCCACGTATAAAATAAGATTTGTAATGGACAAACGTATTTGAAAAACTCCATATGAATGGGTCGCGCGCAAATTGTCGAATGCGGTTGGTAACGTCATTATACTGTCTAGTGATTTGAAAACATTTTTCATAAGCAATTTTTTATGAGATTAGCATAACCATTTATGCAAGTCTCAAGGGAGTCCCAAGGCATTGTTATGGATTTTTGTGGCAAGTGTGGTATGGTATGGCTAGCGATTATTTCGCGTGACAAAACAAAAAAATGTTTTGAAAAACTCGAGGTGGATTTTTGATCATCTCCTAATAATTGTTGATCCTAGATGATCTCTTTTTAAAATGGTAAAAATCTATTCAACTGGGTATCGTGAAAAATATACATTTCCTAGGCATAATTTGACGAAAAAGCCAAAAACATCCGAAAAACCCGAGAAATGGAAAATATTTTTTACGTCTCCGGTGGGGTGCCAATTAGGATGCCCGTTATCAGCTGGCCGGAATCAATATTCTGGCTCCAGACGGAAGTTTTTGAAAAATATTGTTTCTGCAGTGTTTTGGTTCGTTTTCAAGCAACTGAAGGCAAAAAGTGAAGCATAAAATTTATTATGGAATTGTCGATAGCAGGAAAAAGTGTTTTCTCTCTCTTTCGCCTTGAAATTATGTGAAACCCTTTTTTTGTGAATTAGTGAATTTTCAATGTTTTATTCAGACCCGAAAAAGCAACATAACACCGAAAAATTTCATAATCCAATTAGGAATTTGGTCATAGCGTAAATAGGTGCTTCTCGCAACGCTTTCCAATATATCCGGCCCGACACAAGCATTTCGTGCGCCCATCGCTCGTCTTTAGGCACTCCGCGTCGTTCTCGCAAAGGCCGTGGCAGGCGTCTGAATTTTTTAAAGCAGGTTTTAATTTATATAGTGACCTATGGAAGGAAATGGAAATGAAACGTATGATTCTCTGGTTTCGGGATTTGACGAAACATTTAATTGTTATTATTGAGTCGGAGTGTGGGGTATTTTCATGCAGCACATACACTTTTTATTTTTTTTTAATACGGCTCCAATTAGCAAATTCAAAATTAACAATACCGTACCAGCGCAATTGAAGCCATTTCCGATAAAACCCGGGCGACATTTGCAGGCGTACCTGAAAGCCAAAGAATACAAAAATGAAAAATAAAAATTTAATCTTGAAAAACTTATTTTTCAAACATACAAAATTTAAATGGGCTATATGGATGCTGAAGGCTATAAATTGACAAATTCAAAAAATACATGGCCATGCCTTTCCCGCCGCTTCAATAAAATTACCTGGCGGTCCCCTCCTCATCAGGCAAATCGATGCAGACGGCCAACCAATGGCATTTGTGTGCCCCCGAAACGCATTGATTTGTTGACAAGCAATTCGAGGCCGAGTTGGAGCCTGAATTATTTTTAGTTTTAATGAAATAAATGAAGTAAAATAAATATTACTACGTAGATACATCCTTAAGGTTCACTTCAAATAAAAATTGTGATAATTAGTTTAGTTTACTTTTTTTTATGGTGAGACTTTTTTGGAAACATTTTTTTAGTTTGTGGTTTATTAGTAGCTAGTTTTTTTTACTTTAGTTTCATCAGTTTTTTACACTTTTGCCGAATGATCGCTGCTGGTCTGCCGTCTCCCTGGGATAAGCATAGTATGACAGGTATTCTTCGGCTAAAGCGCGCAGGAGACATTCACTTTAAAAAAATTAATTTTAATTTTTAAAAAGTTAACGCTTTTTCTTAAGCAAATGTTTATTAAATTTTTTCTGGCACATGGAGGTCTAGTGTACAGGATGTTCATCAAAAGATATTAGGTTGGAAATATACCTTTTAATGGGTGGATTTGGTAAAACATTTTATTTTATGGTACCGCGTTTGGATTTTGTTTAATCTTATAATTGGTAGGGCCTTTTTATTTTTTGGTTTTACTCGAATTACATCGAGATTAAATTTATATTTTATTCGAATTACCTTTCTTATAAGTCGTTGAACCATCTGGGCATTTTTTGCAGCTTCTAGCATCATCAATATCCGAGTATTCGCCCAGCCCGCATTCCAAGCACTTTCCTGTTTCCAAGTCGAGATATTGGCCGGATTTGCATATTTCTAAAGTTCCATTTTTTGTGTAGCTCTTGATTCTGAAACTTATTACGATGCTTTCATCTGAATTTTACTTTTTAACCGTGAAATAATTAAATAAAAATATAGGTTAAATAAAAATAAGTAATTCAAACGTATTCAAATTTGAAAACCCTTTTATTTTGAAAAATAAAATTCAATTAAAAGAGTCGACAAAGATGATAGCAAAACGGATACCGCATATTAACATCTGTTTTCCAAATGTCAGTGCATAGATGAAACTCAAAAGTTTGTTTCCATAAAAATTTGGCAGTGTGAAGAAATTCATTACGTTCCTTGAATAAATTAAATCAAATTAAACTCGCTAAAGCCGAATCAATTCAATAAAATCCCATTTAAATGATTCTACCAATGCGGCAGTCCTGGAGAACGGTAGCGCCCGCGTGCGGCGTAGTTGTGCCCTTCGGGCAATGCATGCACATCGGCTCGGCTGGCGACTAAATTTTTGTAACTTAAGTAAATAAATAAAAGCTAAAGGGTTAGGTAATGTAATTTAGATGTTTTAAAGAGAGTGGAATGTAAAGAAAGAAATAGGTCTGTGTTTGAATCGATAAATTTCTCAAAAGTTTTAGAAATTCGTTTGTTTGAATCTTGACATTTTTGTACAAATATGTTTTGTCGAAAAAAACAGAATAAAAAACATATAAAGCCTTCAATTTGTAACTACGTCGAAGTGATTAGCCCGAAAAGACAGTACCCCGAAAAGTCTTAATATGATGTCGTAATCGATTGCAGAACGTAATGGCCACGTGACTGGTTTTCTTTGGAGTTTAAGTGTTAAACTGTTTTGAGAGTTTAACCTAGATGCATTCATTTGTGCAGGTTTCGCTTCTAACTCAACATAAAAAAAATTTTGGTAGAAAATCTGTAAGATTATGAATTAAGAGGCAATTAGTAAAGTACACCCGATTCCCAGTCACCTGATCGAAAAATCGCCTGATCGAAAATCTCCTGATCGAAAATCGCCTGCTCGAAAAATTGCCTGATCGAAAATCTCCTGATCGAAAATCGTCTGATCGAAAAGTCGCCTGATCGAAAAATCGCCTGATCGAAAATCGCCTGATCGAAAAGTCGCCTGATCGAAAATCGCCTGATCGAAATCCTTATCAAAGTTGTAGCATATTTTCTGCTGCTCGTCGAGCGTCGTCCGGTCGCGTTTCTTCGGGGCATGCGCGTATTCTCGGAGCTGTCTCAGTTTGACCCGGGGTTTTGAGCTCGAACTTCTGAAGGTAGTTGAGGAATTTCCACATGGACGGGTGCTTGCAGCCGAAGTGTTGGTTGAGTGCGTTGTTGGTGCCTAAGCCTAAACCTAAGTCTAAGCCTAACCACGAAGCATGGTATGACAAATTACTTCCAGGTGCTGGGGCAAGAATAATTTTATTTCACCTGGTTTGGTCCTTCAGCCCCGATAATTTTCGATCAGACGATTTACGATCAGGTGATTTTTCGATCAGGCGATTTTCGATCAGACGGTTTTCGATCAGGCGATTTTCGATCAGGTGTTTTTCGATCAGACGACTGCCAACCGTACACCCGGTACACCCGGTGCACCCGGATAGAAAGCGTGGGCGTAGCGCGAGAGTGCAGACATTTTTCTCTGCGTCTCTCTCCCCTTTCCCCGCTATCTTGAAACGGGTGTACCAGATGTATTTTACAAATTGCCAATTAATACATGAAGTGAAGTTATGAATAAACTTCATAGCATTCAAATAAATATAAAACGTACCTTAAACGAGCCAATCGGGCATTTTCGGCAGTTCTGGTCTTCGCCTCGCTCAGAGCCTGGCGGGCAGTTTTCTGAAACATGATAAGTGAAACATTATTTTTCGTAGGCCATACGGGTTTGGCAATTTTCAGCTCAGGCATATTTTTAGAGTTTTTAAGGTGCTAATGCAGTTAGGGGGGGGCAGTCTGGAATTGGTAGTGAGAGGCTACGAGGCGCTCCGCTTAAGATACTTGGTTTTTGGCTTAAGCATAGGCTTAACTTAGCTTTAACTATGCTTATCTTCGGGTTACGCTTAAGCTTAAGCCCAAGCTAAGCTTATCTTGAGCTTTAAATTGACCTACGAGGTCAAAATGAGGTCATTTAGGGTTTAGCCTAAAGCTAAGCATAGCTTGACTTAAGCTAAGCTTAGGCTTCGTTGGTATGAATCTAAGTCTAGGCTTATGCTTAGCTTAGCTTTTCCAGAGACTTCGAGTTCAAAAAATGGCATTTGGAGCGTTTTGTAGTCAAAATCCGGACTGCCCCCCCCCCAAGTGCATTAGCACCGTTTTTAAATATGCGTTAATTATTATTAACTATACAAAAAGCGCTTACCCAAGCAATGGTCAATTGAGGTCGAATTTTTATATAGCGGCACGTAGCCCTCGGGGCAGGGCTGGCATGAATCTGAGCCTTAAAGGAATTAGCTTGACAAGCTAAAACTTAAATCTTTCCATACTTGAAACATACTCATTTGTTTTTCTTGAAACTCTTGAAGTTACTATTGATTTGCTGGCCGGGTTAATTTAAAACTGTCCACTAACATTTTTGTTTGTATTAAAATTAGTTAAGGTTCTGCAAAACTTGGTTAAAATCAGCTATGTAATTTTTAGATACCTTCGCCATTCTGGTACCCTCGCAATCCGCACATCTCGCAAATCCGGGCCTCTGCATCGTAGAAATGGCCCTTCGGACAGCGGGCTATAACAGGACGAAAAAGGGTGTTTCAAAAAACCTCAAAATAATGCATTTTTGATGCTTTATTGGTGCCTTGCAATGTTGCAAAGCTTGCTAGACTCACGTATACAATTCTTTTCGAGGCTCGTCCCTTCGCGGGCTGTAGTCAAATGGGCCGGGCATCTGGAATGTAATTACGCTAAATTTTCAATTTCTAAAGTAACATTTTTTTGAATATTAAATTTTTGAAAATGAAAAATCAATTTTTACATTTAATTTTTCCAAGGTTTAACATTTTTTTTTAGCAAAGTTTTAGCAAGGTGAACGAATTAGCGATGAACATAGAATTTTACTTGTGAAAAAATCTAAAACATATTTTTCAGACCTATTGAAAGATTTTGTAAATTTATCCGATTCGTCACCTTTTCCAGATCGCAACAAAACTTCGAGTGGAAAATAAAGAGGTTTAATTTAGAATAATCTAGATTTAACTTTCTAAGCAACTTAAAAAACCCGGAATTGACCAACTTATTACAGCCGTCCTGCCCTGTTCCATCTTGGTACTCTCCCCTCTGGCATTTCGTGCATACGGTAGCGCCGTCAGCATGGAAAGTCCCGGCGGGACAGCGCTCTGAATAAATTATGCAAATAAAAACCTCAAGTTGGTTGTGTAATTATATTAGTAACAGCTGATCTTTGACCTTAATAGCTGCATGCCGGAACCTTTTAAACGATGCCAAAAGTTACTGACGGTTATTTATAACGCCAAAAATTTTTCCCAAAGAGCCCAAAAATATGTTTCGAGAATTTTCCGTGCTCACGTTTGCAAAACCGTGTAAGTTTCGAATGCTGCATCTAGGGTGAATTTGGTGTGAATAGTGCATCTTTCTCAACCGTAACCTATTAATTCAATGTCAATTCCACGCACTTTCGCACTATCGGGGGAAGCTTCTTCCTTATGACCCAATTTTTCTAATGTAAATGCGAGTAGTGTTTTTCAAGTGTTTTTGTTACTATTGCTTGATGCAAAAACGTAGTAAACGTAACTTGTGTGTGTGTGTTCTCCGTTAGTAGGGGAAATCGAATCTCCACTTTCCGACGGCGTTTTCAGAATTTCGTTAAAATACCAGGTAATTTGCATAATGTGAAAAACGCGCGCGTGTGGTCGGGACACCAGGGGTCCGAAGGACCCGGGCTATGGGGAAGTCAAATTTCTCATGCAAAGACAGCATTCCAGCGCCGAAGGCCCGCGAAGAGGGTTTTGGGCGCTGGTCAAGAATATTTTTAAACCATTATCCAATGCTTTAAAAAAATATTCTTTATGAAATAACACGGAATTACTGAAAGATCGTCGGGTTTTTGGTGATCGCAAGTCTTTTCGCCATGGTAATTGTGGGTTATAGTAATTTATTCAAGGCACATCGTGAAACTTGTGATTCTCAAAATTTAGCCAATCCGCGGAGATCTATGGCCGGCTCCTCGACGGTGAGTGCATCGTCAGAGGAGGGCGTGTGTTGTGGTGTTTGTGGGTGGAGTGGGAGTGGGGAATCCCTGGAATTCACCATTGAAATAGATCTTTAAAATGGTCGATAACATTAATAAAGTAAATATGATCTTTTCGTAATTTCTCGCTAGTGTGCAAAAAAATGTTTCGACTAAAAACCTTGTCGCCACAATAAACAGCGCCGGAATTTGTCTGTTGCTAAGTTGATTTCGCAAACCTTTAACAGCTTTTATTTCCGAGATTTTTGAGAAACAAGTTCGGGAATTCCGCGCATTACTTTAACACAGGCCCCTTTAATTATTCTTGACGTAAAACAAATTTTTCATAAGAATACCACAATAGACTTTTGGAATAAAAACAACCGATTTGCGCCAAAAATTGCCAAAAATTTCCAAAAAATAAAGTGTACTAAATAGGAAATTAAAATACTGTCTATGTGAAAATTCTGTAAAGCGCCATAGCTACAGATCCGGCAAAAACGCCATTGAAAAACACCGTAAACATTTTTCTGCAATAAAAGGATTGGATTTTCATTTTTTAATCAATAAACCATATTTGATTACTTATTATTTTCGTGCTCTTAAAAAGTATTTAATGCATTTTAATAGTATTCTTTCGTGAAAATGGCGTGGAGTGCGAACCTGAGCCTCTTCGACAATAGCTTACGGCATCTATCTCCATTCACCAGCACGCTACCGCGGTTGCAGAAGAATGCCTCCTCGAAGGGTAGATCTTGAGAGGGTTTCCCCAGAATCTGAAACACAAAATTGTGGAAACCAGCAGACATAGACAATCAGTTACGCGCTGGAAAAAATGTCTCTGCGCCTTTCCCCAGGGCGCGCTCTCTGCCCTGTTGGCTACTTGCCAATTTGTTGATTAGGGGGGAGCGACCCATGCCGAGCCCTTTAAGCGTCCGGATTTGAGAAATGTTTTCAATGTGTTTTTGGAGTGTAAATTAAACCAATTGAACTAAACCAAATAAATCGGAATTGGCTTCGATTACAATTTGAATCAGTGGCATATTAGAAAACATCAATTTTAGCATTAAACTCATAGAACCGGGGCTAAAAGGCTTTGGACTCGAAACCCGTTTCAAAAAATTTTTTGGGGCTTAAATGGAAATGGGAATAAAGCCGAAAAATGACAATTGGCTTTTTATCCTGATATTCATAATTATCTTTCAAGCATCGGTTTTGTCATAAAAACGCTAAAGGCCTTATTGATATGGAAAGCAGACTTAATCAAGAAAATTTCAAACACGTTTTTAAATAACTTTTTCGGCTTTAAATGAACAAAAAAACACAGCACATATTAAAAATAAACTTTCCCCCAATCAATACCTTTAGAGCATTGGTATATTGAAAGATGCCGCCCTTGAGGCCAATTTGGACGACAGCCAGCACGGTGGAAGTCGCTTCGACTTTGGCATTTTTGATCGGATCCCTGAAATTTTTTATGACTCTCTCTGTCTCTCTATCTCTCTATCTGTCTCTCCATCTGTCTCTCTTTCTCTCTTCTCTCTCTCCCGCTCTCTCTCACTCTCTGTCTCTCTTCTCTCTCTCCCGCTCTCTCTCTATTTCTCTACCCCCCCGCTACGCGCCGTTCAGCGCTGGCCCTCCCCCACAATTTTGAATTTTGAATCTTTTGACATACAATAGCAATAGCATACAATAGGTTTTTTGATCCACGCTTGAAAATGGAACACCGAAATGTCACCAACTACGTTTCTGCAACAAAATAATTTTTCCCGGATCGTCTATTATCTCGCCTTAACAATCATAATACTCTAACCTTCTGGTTTTAAAACAACTCGATGTATATTTGCTTTTCCTACCTCTCGGCAATAAACGTGGCATTAATCTTGTATCCCGATGCTCCGAAAGACTCGCCGGTCACCTGCGCCTTTCCACAGTCAGTTGATTTCCTGGAGAAAAAGTGAATATTTCAATATTTATCAAAAACGCTCGACTTTTACAAAACGCTCGAACGCCCGAATTTTACAGTTGCCATCTTGTAATTTGTAGACCTGTATTCGCTGTGAAATGCCCACTTGTCGAGCTCGGATCCGCCGCAGATCAGCCAGTGCTTGTTGATGAAGCGCAGCGAGGCGAGCACCGAGTTGCGCAGCAACGAACTGAACTTGCGCACGCCGGACAGCTCGGAGACGCGCGCCTCCAGGTAGGTGACCTGAAGCAGGGAAAAGGAAAGGAAAAGGAAAAGCCCGACAGCTCAAAAACCGACAGTCAAAATCTCGACAGGCAGGGTCCCGACAGCTATAATGTCGACAGCGATAATACCGAGACACTAAAATCCCGACACAGCCATAAGCCCGAGACGAAAAATAGCTCCTTGGAAAAAAGTGGTATTGAAACTAGCATCAAGAAGATGTCGGGATTTTGGTCCGACGGCATTTTTGCCTGTCGGGATTCCGACTGCCGGGATTTTTGCAGCCGGGGTTTTGGCGGAGCCAGCCGTTGTATGCTAATTTCGATAAGCCAGTTTTGCATTGCGATTTAGCGCTAAAATTACCCCCCCCCCCTCGACCGGCATGCGATTGAGGGTCAATAAGTCGTTTAAAGGAACGAGCAAGGCTTGCCTAGGGATTTTCAAGCGTTTTCCGACTAAATTTGACGCCACCCAAAACTTAAGTAAAAGAGAGTCACGCTCTTAAAGGGGATTTGAAGTCAAAAGTCGAGCGGACTAGGTCTTGGTATTGGATTGCGGGTATAAACGTTTTTAACGGGGCATTCAAGGCATCTATTGGACGTGATAGTCGACAAAACGTCCCTTTAAAGCACTTTGAAACCACAAATCAACCCCTTACTCAACTAGGTCTCGATAACAGCAAGTAAAAGCTTTTTACAGAACAATTCAAGCTAATATTCAGTCAGTCGATCCTTTTCTATTAAGTAGCTATTGGTCCATCAAAGGGAGCTACATCACAATTTAGATGCTTCAGAAATTCTCAAAAGTAAAAAATAGTTATGGATGCCTATTGGGCGTCGTACCAAATTGGCTGGAAAATTATCCGAAACCAACCTGGAATCTGACCACTCGAACGGCTGGCTCGAGCTCTGGCTCGGATTGGGCTTGTAGAGCCCCGGAATATACGATGGCGGCCAGGCAGAGACTTCTAAACAGCATCTGAAATAATATATATAACCAATCTAGATTATATAAAAAAATAAACCGTTAAGCGAGTTAATAAACTTTAAAAGGGCGCGAAAATTATCGAACATTTTTACAAATTACAAAAAAAAGTTTCAGAATTTTACATGATGATGAAACATCGTATTTTCAAAATCTGGAAAAGTAAAGAACTGTCAGTTCGGGGGGAAGCACTGCGAAACCAGCAATAAGTAGTTGAATTTCCATTGAAAATGTAAGTGCTGTTCCATGACAAAATGACAAAAATAGAAAAAAGTACTTTAGTATAGAGAAATTGACAAATTTCCGTAGTAAAAATAGATAAAGAAAAAAAATTATTTTTCTATGGCATATCATTTATAATTTAATGTAGAACAAAATTATTACCGTGCTATTATATAAAATAAATAATTGTAAATTATGCATTAACGCTGAATATCAAGATGAAAGCTGGAGGTCAACGCAAGCAAACCGTCGTGCCAAAATGTCCTTTTTTGAAAAAACGAACCTTTTTGAAAGTTAAGTGCTGCAAATTTAACCAAAGGATCGAAAAGCTATCTCGAAATAAAAAAAGTATTTTTTGCCGGATCCCCATCGAAAAACAATGTTGTTTTTTTTTATCAATTTGGGTCGATTTAATTCCATGCACCTTCTCGCTATGTGGAGCGGTAAAATCATGATTTCTGCGAGGTCTGAAAACTTGATAGTTAAAATGAAAATTCGCTTTTAAGGATTTTCATCCACCCATTAATACTCTCGGCACCTGCCAAACCTCTACTTTAATTGAAACAAATTTTGCAGTTTCCAAAAATATTTTGGGTTTCTTGGAATGGGTTTTTATGGTTTTCACAGGGCTCGAGCGTTTGAGAATAAAAAAAGGTCCGAAAAACTAAATTTCAATTTAAAAAATTTAAAAAAATGAAGAATTACAACTCTAAAAAAGATTAAATCTAAGATAGACTAACTGTAACCCTCTTCTGGTCGAAGTGAAAATTCGTTTCGTGAGATAGCACGATGTGCAGAATTTTTCGCTGATTCCGAATCAGTTTTCAACAGTCGCGGAACCCCTCAAATTAAAAAGTTACAATTGTTTTTAGTACCCAAATTGCCACAAATCGCGTTAAAGTGTTCTAAAAATGCCATGAAATACTGATAGGGTGAAAAGACGGCACCTACCGGGGTAAAAGAGTGCCCTTTCGGATCG